ATATATATAGTTTCTTGTGTTTCTTCAAATATTGAGACAATTATTAACAAATACAATACAGAGACAAGACGTGTACACATATTGTTAGAAAATAGGATAATAAACTAATTAGTTGCAGGGTTGCCGTAAAATGTGGGGAAAAATTCAGTGCCTATGAAGTACAACAATGTGAAGAATGATAAATGCTTGCAATATCTCAAAGCATTTTTAGAATCAACTTCATCCTCCTCATCTTCCTTGAGTTAGATCAGTGATTATGATGAGAGATGCCCTTGCATCATCTCATCTAATTATTTTTAAAATTCATGTTGAAGGTAGTATCTCTTTCTATGGATAAACTTGGTATTTAGCTGTGTAAGTCATCTCCTATTTCATAAGGAAGATCTGATTACAGTTATGTGTAGTCACATAACATTTAATCTTAATGTCTTAAGTGCCCTCCAGGAATAAAATATACTGAACTGAAATGACACGAACAATACCTTTAATAAAATATGACATATACTAGAGTTTTTTATTTCTAAATTACAGTGTACAAAACATAAACTGATTATATATTATCTCACATTAATAAGCTTAAGAGTGAGGTAGGAGAAGAAGGGAAGAAAGAGAAAGAAATATTTATTCTTATGGGAGTTAAAATACAGACTGTATTATGTGGTTGTCAAATAGAAAGAAAATGTTTTGCCCATTTTAGCCCTTACACTATTTTCAAATTATTGTTTACTGAATATTGCTTAATATAAATGGAAATAAAGGTAATAAAAATAGCATTTTTTTCTATTATTCTACATATGTTTGATGAAAATATTTATGAAAGTCATTAATTGTACCATTTCATTTTCACTAATTTATTTTGAAAAATACAAAAATTGATTTTTATATGATGCAACTTAGATTTTCTTTTAAATGAGGCAATATTTAACTGTTCAACAAATAGCTGCAAATTATGGGCTCACTATGAGATAAAATAAATGTAAGATGACTTTGTACCATTATCTTTTACATATGTAACACAAGGAAGTCCACTTTACATAACTCTTCATTCCCATTTTCTCACATGAACTTAAAAAAAGTATAAAAATGTTGCAATTTTGACGATGATTGCATTGGATCTATAGATGAACTAAGTAATAATGGCATCTAAACAACATATTTTTCTTTATGTTTATTTTCCTTCATTTATTTCACCGGTATTCTATCATTTTTTCTTTATAAGTTAATATCACTAGTTAAATATATTCCTTGAGAAAGAATTGTTAACATTTTATGTTGATTCTTTCAAAATTATTTATAGAGCTATTATGAAAATATTCATACTTTACATATTATTTTAACTTGTTTTATATTTAATGCATATCTTTCTATATTAATAGACTTCAAAATTGTCCTCTATAGTGCCTACATATCATACTTTTTTATAACTGTAGCATAATTGTTAGCCAATTAAGTTACTCTTGCAGGGTTAATGTGTTCTCATTGTTAATACTACAAACTGATTCAAGTGGAATACAAGTGGAATATATAATTAAATGGAAATTTTGTGATAGAATATATTATGCAAAAGATATGCATTGGTTATTAGTGAATTGGTAATATGGGATGCTAAAGACATTACTACAGGGTAAAAATAGTCTAACAAAATATCATATTCTAAGATAAGATGGAATTATTTGTTTTTAGCTGACAGTTATGGTACTCTACCTTTTGCCATCTATCCTCAATAACACCTTACACATCAAGTATTGGTGTAATTATCTTCCCATACCTAGATTTTCAACTCTATAGTAATGTCTTTATAGATTCCTACCAGTTATTATCAAGACTAATCCAACTCATAGTGACCTTATCAGTGTCTGCATAGAACTATGTTAAAAGGGGTTGTCTGACATTTTTCAAAGTAGATTTAAAAGCCCCTTTTCCAAGTTATGCTAGGTGGACTAGAACATCCATTCTTTCAGTTAGAAGCTGGATGTATGCTTAGAGAAATTAAGTTATCTTGTAATCATATTCATTTTTTGGAGTTTTTTAAAAAATTATTATTATTAGTTGACAGTATACATCACTTTAACATTCCCTACACAAAAAACTCAGTGACATTGATTATATTTTTATTTATGTCAACATCCTTATTCTCTTTTTTGTGTGTTTTTTATTATTATTAATTTTAATGAAAGTTTAGAGAGACTTTGAATTTCCATTTATTCATTGTTGCCTTTTCCTCCCTGCCCACTCCTCCCTCACCAGTTCATTCTTCTCTTTGAAAAGTAAAAGGAAAATTATTTGATTGGTATACAATCTCCCCCTCCCCCAGTACACTCCACTATGCAGCCTTCATTCTGGACTCTTGTTGTGGCCATAATAACTAATCATAAATCTCTTTTAAACTATTCTCTCCCTCATCTGTTTCAATGCAATATACATAATTTATCCAATTTTTCTCAGTCTCACCCCAACCCCGATGTCAGTCACATTCTACAACAGCAGCACTATACAGTATTTCTCCTTTTGTGACAGAGACATTTTCCTCAGCATAATGTTCTCCAGTGTCACCCATTTTGATTACTATTTCATAAGTTCCTTGTTTTTCAATGCAGCGTAGTATTCCATTGTGTTGAGTATACCACAGCTTCTCTATCCATTCATTTGTTGATGGGCACCTGGGTTGTTTCCAACTATTTGCTATTGTGAACAAAGCCACAATAAATATGGGTGTACATATATCTGCCTGGGTGGCAGTTATGGTTTCTTTAGGGTATATTCCCAATAGTGGAATTGCTGGGTCATATTTATGCTTTAAGAGCAAGTCTTTGATAGATCACAAAAGTATCAGGGAATGATAAATAAAATTATTTTAGGTCAATTTATCTTCCATCTTTGGTTTACATGATTTCTCTTCTCTTTTAAAACACTTTCCCTGTTGCAAACCTCAATGGAAATTTCCTATCTTTTTCCTTTAATATTTTGTAACACATTTTTCTGAAAGATGATATTTTGCTTTTGCTTACATGTTTGCATATTTTTATGATTTCTACAATCCCTGAAAGAGGTATAAGACTTGAAATTACATACCAGTAAGTTAAGTTGGACATTAAAATTAAAATACAATTATTAAATTTATAATGAAATATTTTTAAGCTGAGAGAGATAATGTAGATAATGCTTTGTGTAATTATTAGACAATTGAAAGTCTGTGGAACAAAAATATATCTGGAAATCTTTCCTTTTACGATCCACACAGAAGTCAGATAAGCACATTAGGGACAAGAGAAAGCCTACAAGTGTCCAATAAAATTTTCCCATGTCCTAAGTGGCCTGGCAATTTGTATTTAAGCCTAGATGAAAATATTCTTTAAATCCTATCTAATGTCATTTAAACCAAAAAACCAAACACAGCAATCCAAAAACTCCTTTAAGAATACAACATTCAGGAATTTAGTTCTGAATATAAATATATCTCCAAAATGTTAATTATTAGTATTAAAGAAGTTTGTTACAAGATGGGGAAAGAATGTAGAGTATGTTGTCAGTTGTTTCTTGTTAGGCTACTCATGTGCATCCTTTGCAAAGAACAGATTTGTATGATCCTCCTTAACTAAATATGAGTCAAAACTTTCTTCTTACACAAAGTTCTCCTGAGAGCTGTTTTGACTTCCTTGTTCCGTAAACTATAGATGATAGGATTGAAAGTGGATGTCACCAATGTATAAAAAAGGGCTAGGAATTTGTCAGTGTATGGTGAATAGCTAGATTTGGGCCTCAGGTAAGTGATAGAGGCTGAGCCATAGAATAGGGTTACTACCAATAAGTGAGAAGAACAGGTAGAAAGAGCTTTATGGCGGCCTTCAGGAGAGGGCATGACAAAGACAGCAGCTAGAATTCTGCCATAGGAAGCAATGATCAGTAAAAATGGACTGGAAATACAAAGGACAGCTGCAACAAAGACCAGAGCCTCATTATGAGATGTATCTCCACAAGCAAGTGCCAACATGGGTGGGAGGTCACAGAAGAAGTGGTTTATCTCACAGGGGCCACAGAAATCCAACGAGAAAATAAAGTTTGTTTGGCCCAGACCTACCATGCATCCCACACCCCAAGAAATCATTGCCAAATGGGCACACACCTCACGATTCATTCGTGTTGCATAGTGGAGTGGGGAGCATATGGCCAAATAACGGTCAAAAGCCATGGCGGCCAAAAGGCAGCATTCACTGATACCAAATAATATAAAGAAAAACATCTGTGTGGCACAACCCTCCTTGGAGATCCCTCTGGCCTCACTCACAAGACTCTGCAGCATTTTGGGTATGATAGAACAAGTGTAGCCAATTTCCAGGAAAGATAAGTTGGCCAGGAAGAAGTACATGGGAGTGTGCAGCACTGGGTTGGTGCAGATGGTGAGGGCTATGAGAGCATTTCCTGTCAGAGATGCTAAAAACATGAGTAGGATGAGGGTAAACAGAAGGAAACACTGCTCAGTGACCTCAGAGAATTTGGCAAAAGCAAAGCGTTTGACAGATATGCCATTTTCCTGCCACAAGGAGCAACTTAAGTTCATGACCTGAAAAACAAAAAGAAATTCACCTGAAAGATTCCTTCAGCTTAAGGAGACAATCTATTATGACTTTCAAAGGATTCCCACTGAAATTCCAAAGTCCTAAATTACACTTATACAATTCCAAGTCAAATTTTCTGCTATACTCACTGTTTCTGCAGATGTGTCCAAAATAGACTTAATCAGGCAAGTATAAAATTAAGAAAAAAATTAAGCTTAATTCTCTGCCCCTTTTTTGATTCTAAAATCAAATGTTTCTGATATTTCATCTATCCATCTCTTCCCATATGGCTTTTTTAAAAAATAATTATCTTAACAAATAGGATTTAGCACAACTATGTAAATACTATGTTACAACCATTCAAAAATAATACCTGTACTGAACTACTGATGAAATATCATTTTTATAACTCATTACTTTCAATCATCTGTTAGCATGTTCTTTGGCTTAGCATGTTTTTTACTAAATGAAAAGTATGCTTCTCTGAAAGTAAACATCCTCTCTCTCTCATTCATATATATATATATTCAAGTTCAAGAATAGTTTTGTATCATCTTTAGAAACTCCTCCTAACTCTGCCCCTAAGCTAATGTTCTCACAGCCATATCATCATTAAGCTAGTCCCTTGATGATGCAAGTGGTTAAATGTTTGCTACAACGGAATAATTGTTGTTTCAACTCACCTACAACACTGGGAAAGAAAATGGGTGGTTTCCTTCTGAGAAGGCACAGTCTTCAGAATCTGCTGGAATATAGTTCTATTCCACAATACATGGACCCTGCATGAGTTTAAACAGTCTTGATGGCAGTATTTTGTTTGTTTTATTGCCAAGATATCCCTTATACTGATCTTGACAGCAATTACTTGCTCATTTTTTTCTGAAGATAATTTTAGAACCAGAATATAGGAATAACATATTCACTGCCATAGCAATTAGTGAAATCTCATATAATGAAAAAAATGTTAAATGTTTTTTGTTTATATTTTACATACTGAAGTCAATTAAATACAATTCCCCTCAAATGCCTCAGACACAGCAAAACTGGTGAAAAATCATGAAAAGCTGATTGCTGCTGCTGTTATACTTTCTACTGTTTGTAATATTCCCTGAACTGTTGACCTAAGTTTAAAGAGCTGGTTACTTATATAATAGGAGTCAAACTTGTGTGCGTACTACAAGTGCTTCTTTTCAGCATTACTCATGGAAAGAGAGCAAGATGTAAGGGAATACAGAAAACAGAACAGAGAGAATAATTAATCACAGACATGGTGGCTGTCTCGCACCTAATGCATTCTTTGGTCTTAGGCTTTCTGAACTGTAATTTCCTTGCAAAGAAAGAATATAAGGCCTTTATAACTTTCTTATTTAACTGCTTTAATTTACCGATACAAACATCATACAGGAGCATCATAAATAAAAATTTAAAATGACCATTAAAATATAGCTTAATAGTAAGTTAAATCTTCTTACCCTTTGAAAGCTTCATGCATTAACAACTTCCTGAACATTGGATTGAATGATTCTTTTTATTATTGATGTATTTAAGAAGATAGTAAATGTCAGTATTCACAAAATTCTTACAAACACTGTGTTATAATTTGAAGATACAGATTTCTTTCCCATGGATATTACCTAGTGATTCCTATTCTGTTATAATTCATTAAGTAATCACTGAATACTGACACATTTCTGAATTTAAATTAGTGAATGGACCTTCAGTGGAGGGGGCAGAAAATCTAGAAGAGATGGATGGCTTTACTTCACATACTAGCTTACTTAGTCACAAGGTCTAAACAAGTACTTTATAGTTTTGTTTTGAGAGAATTTGGCAAAAGCAAAGTATTTGACAGATATGGCATTTTCCTGCCACAAGGAGCAATTTAAATTCATGATTAGAAAAGAAAAAAAGATAGTTACCTCAAAGATTCCTTCAGAAGAGGATACAATCTATTGCATGACTTTTAAAGAACTCCCGTATATCAGAGGGATTAAAGTCCACAAATTCTTACCTGCAGTTCTAAAATTAAAAAGTAGAAAATAACCCAACACAAATGATTCATCTTAAGAGCTACTCATAATTAGAAATATACCTTGAACTGATCCAGGTCTTTGCTACCTATTAATTATAGAACATAAGATATATTATTGTTACATGCTGTTGAGTCAAGTATGACTCTGAGATACTGAAAAAAACAGATTTGAAACCTCTCCTGTACTGTGCCATCCTCATCCTCTCTGACATACTTGAGCCCACTATTGTAGTTACTGTATTATTAGTGTGTTGAGAGTCCTCCCCTTTCACTGACTTCTACCTTTTCAAGCAGGATGTATCTTTTCTATGAATAGTCCCTCCTAACAACATGCTGAACCTCCACCATTCCAAGCGTAATGTCCCTTTCCAGGAATAGCTCCTTCTAATAATAAGCCTCAAAACGTGAGATGAATCTTCACCATCTTTGCCTTCAAGGAGCACACTGACTTTACCTTCTCTAAGACATATTTATTTTTTAGATATTGTATATTAAACATTTAGTGTCATGGCTAAAATACAAGAAGCATAGTTAATTGCTACTTGTTATTACATAAGTAACTGTCCCTAAAATGCATCATAAGATACAATACAAAGAAATTGGTATTTAAACATATATAAGTATGATAAATATTGCTTTCCAAAATTTCACCTATAGAACCCACTATTCAGCTAAATGATATCTAAACATAACCAATTCTGTTTTATTTCCTAGATCAAACCATTCAGGACAATATAGATATTTTTATTCATTGAGAATTAAATATATGTCAGTTTCTTATGGAAAAAATGAATTTAGAAAGCTTAATTATTTTATAAGAGGTTTAAGAGGTGAAGAACAGAACTGAAAGCTCTTCCATATATTGTATATTCATATTTTAACCCACCATTCTATACAGCTATCATTTTCTTAAGATATCAGCTGTCTTATGTCTTTAAGCATAGTCTTTTGAAGGGAAAATTGCTATTGCTGCTGGTGAAGCATTCCCTGGCTTTCTTTTCATCCCTCCCTGTAATCGCCCAATATTCAATTGATATAAATCTGTCCCATCCTCACCTTTAAGATGACAATAATTTGTCTTATGATATACTCTTATCTTCCTTCTTTATGAAAAATAATAAGGTGTGACTATGTTATATTTGAATTATCTTTCTTGTTCTGAACCATTATCTTGCTTCTGTTGCCCACCCTGGAGACTTCTATTGTCTTCTCACTGGAGAGTATCTGGAAGTAGTTACACTCTGTCTCTTGGGACTTGTCATGGACAGATCTGTCACTATTTGTATTTAGGAAGGGGAAAAGTAAATGTTAAGAGGTAGATTAATTAACAGTTAAAGATAAGGAATGATCTGTATTACAGTCAACTGTTTTTGCAAACTTTGTACATAAAAAAATGAACTCAAGTGAAATGTATTCTTATAAACAATATTTTGGCCACTCTTAACTGTAAACATAAAATATTCAAATTTTACTCTTTGTTTGAAAACTAGAATAACTATCAAAATATCTATACATGCTATATTACATTCTTCCTGATACAGATCATGGTCTTTTCAATCACTTTCTCTGCATTTGAGACCTTGACAATGAATAAGGATGACAAAGAATTGATGCCTTTATATTGTGGTGTTGTAGAAGAGTATTGATTGTTTCATAGACTATCAAAACACGTATATTTTGAAGAAAAGTGCAGCCACAATGCTCTTTAGAGGCAAGGCTGAAGAAGTTTCATTTCATATAATTTGGGCATATCATTAGGAGCGTCTATTCTTTGGAAAGGACTATGATGCTTGGAAAGACAAAGGGTTAGGGAAAATGAGGAAGACCCTCAACAAGGTGGATTGAAACCATATTTGTGACAATGGGCTCAAGTGTGTTGGGGATGATTAGAATGGCAAAGGATTGTACATGGTTCAGATTTGATGTTCATAGGGTCATTAAGAGTTTTACTAGACTCAAGGATAGTTAACAACAACATTGACAGAGTTATCTTCTCATAAGTCAGGACCAAGAAGCAAATTTATTTGTCAGGGTTTTCTAGAAAAAGTACATAAAATATATTAGATTGCTCTAGGGGATATTATAGCTAATATCAGATGGATCTTGGCTAAAAGCAGGGAATAGCAGAGGAATGTCTATCTATGTTTCATTGATTATGCAAATGTGTTTGACTGTGTGGAGCACAACAAGCTGTGGCTGACTCTGAGGAGAATGGGAATCCCAGAACACTTGATTGTGCTCATTGAAGCCTATATTTGGACCAGGAAGCAGCTGTCAGAACAGAGCAAGGAAACAATGTATGTTTCAAAATTGGAAAGGGTGTATGCCGAGCATGTGTTCTATCTCCATATCTTTCAATATATATGCAGAACAGATTATCCAGGAGGCTGGGCTCTATGAGGAGAAATGTTGCATCAGAATTGGAGGTAGACTCATCAACAATCTGTGTTATGCAGATGACACAACCTTGCTTGCTGAAACTGATGAAGACCTGAAGTGCTTGCTGCAGAAGGTCAAGGACTGCAGCCTTCAATTATGGATTGAAGCTCAACATCAAGAACCAAGATTCTCACCGCAGGGCCTATTGGCAGCCTCATGATAGATGATGAGGAGATTGAGATTGCTAAGAGCTTTCGTTTCCTTGACTCCACAATCAACACTCTTGGTACCAGGAGCCAGAAAATTAAAAGACAAATCGTATTGGAAAAGTCTTCTTTCAGAGACCTCTCCAAAGTACTGAAGAGTAATAATGTCAGTATGGAGTCTAAGGTGCACCTGATCCAGACCATAGTCTTTGCAATTACTTGCAATGCATCAGAAAGCTGGAAAATGACTAGGAATGACAGAAGAATTGATGCCTCTGAGCTGTTGTGCTGGAGAAGATTATTGAATATACTGTGAACTGTTAAGAGACCTCTCCAAAGTACTAAAGAGCAATGGTGTCTCTCTGGAGACTAAGGTGCATTCGAT